ACATGAAATTTTCATAACATGAATGTAAACTAATCAAAAACAGACACTATGTTTTGTTGAGTTTCACTTGGATTTTAAGAAGATGTTTTGTTTGCTGAACAACAACCAGCATTTTGGAAGATATATAGCCAGGCACTAAATGAAGCCGGGCTTAGCCATCTGGGGAGAGACTTCCATCAGCTGGGCCATTTTCTTGTTCCACCACATGGTGAGAAAAGGAGCAAACTTGATTCACATCTGTCCTTAGATTTTCTGTGTTCTGTAGGATCATGTCACTGGTCACTGGCTTTAAGGAATTACCTTTTTTTTTTTTTTTTTAAAGATTTGTTTATTTATGCATATAGAACTGGGGCAAAGGCCAGAAATGCGGGGGCAGTGGGAGGAGGGAGCAGAATAGGCAAGTTGATGAAGTACACTGAGGGGAACAGTGGGCGAGACAGGAGAGGTCTGCTGCACCATGTGTGTAACCTCCCTGGCCAGGGACCGAACTGGTGCCGAGACAGCTGCAGCCAGCTTCATATATTGCTGGCTTTAACCGGTTGTGCTACCAAGGAGGGCCGGGAATTACCTTTTTAGCCATAATGCACACACATTAGACCCAGAAGCAAGAGTGTTTATGTGGGTCTTGTCCCTTAGGACCCCACGTTGGTAGAGAAGGACGTTCTATCTTAGATGTTCCTGGAACAGTGTTCAGAGTCAGTGCCTAATATCTATTCCCTCCTGGGTTGCTTGAAATTTCTCCCTGACAAGCCAGTTTAAGGAAAATTAAAAGAACATTAGATTCAGAATCAGAAGATTGGATTCTAGCTGTGACTCTATTAAGAGCAATATAATCATACTATTCTGGGACTGAGATTATTTTCTTTTAAAAAGAATATACTTAATGTATACAAAATATAAAATTGAACATATTAAAAATGTAAAATAAGCACCCTAATATCCAGCTCACACATTGAGAAATAGATTATTACCAAAAACTTCCAGGCTTCCAAAATTTCATTCCCCTAAACATTTCCTCTAGTTATGGTCATCCTCATTATATTATTCACCAACTTTTTAATAATTTCACTGTTTAAGCAATTATCTTGAAACAGGATATTATTTTGTCTTGTATGTTTTTGAACTTTATATACAAAAATTTGTATGTATATTTTTTTCCTGCAATATGCCTATTTTAACAGTGTTCCATCATATAAATGCAATTCATTTTTACTTCTCTAAAGATAATCTTTTCTGCTTGATGTCACCTACTGTTGATTCTCTCTGTTGAATTTTTTTTCCATTTTCTTCATTGTGTTTTTCAGCTCCAGAATGTTTTGGGTTCGTTATTATGATTTCTTTCTCTGTTAAACTTATTTTATGTTTTTTTTTTGTTTCATTTAATTATATTTCTGTTTCCTTGTAACTCACTCAGTTTCCTTAGGACAGCGATTATAAATTCTTTATGGGGCAAATCAAATAGCTACATTTTTTTGTGGTCAGTTACTGGAAAATTATTTTATTCTTCTGATGGTGTCAAGATTTTTCCATGTTCTTGAAGTCGTGCACTGTTGTCTTTACTAATTTTGATAGTGAACTACCTTCTGTCTGTCTTGGTAGGGATTCTAAGGCTTTTCAGACTTCCTATGGACATGCCTATGCCTCATTTCTTACTCTTTCTTGTGGTACAATTCTTAATTTTTTATGCCTTCTTCTTTTGATCCTGCAAAACCAGGCTGTGTGCTGCCAGCCTTCCTTTTCCTCCCCCTCGGTTAATATTGAATGCTCAACTTTGTGTTTCTTCTCAGTTCCACAGAGGCAGAACAGCTGTGCTTGGCTCGCTAGCCATCTGCAAAGGCTTGCTCTTGCTGCATCCAAGAGCACACTTCAGAAACACACTGTGGGTGTAGAGGTGAGGTTTCCAGGGTGCTAGTGGCACCCCTGGGCCACATAGTGGGTCGGCAAGCAAGGAATCACCACAGCTCGTGGTCAGGCTTTTGGTTGGCATCTGCAATGTAAGCCGATGGTCTGCATCCCTTTGCTGCCTTCCAAAAGTCCCGCTTGCCACCCTTCCAGCCACCCCACCCTCAGCCTTCGAGTGCATCTCTGTATGCTGCCAGGGTGAGAAACAAGCATGTCCCTTGGAAGTGTTTCTTGAATCTGGGAAAGCCAGGCACACTTCTTCCTCACCCCAAATCACATCTGCATGTTTCTAGATATTCTTTTTTTTGTCAGATTGCCTGAAATTTATCCAGATAGAAAAGTCTTATTTGGATATGCTTCTACACTTAAATTGAGGTGTTTTTTTTTTTTTGTCCATTAATGTGGATAGTTTTTCTATAACTTTTAAAATTTTCTTCAATTCCTTTCTTTAGATGTCACTCCTTGCTCTAGTCACAGTTACTATGTGTTTCTGTTTCCAGTGATCTATTTGACTTAGCTAACTCCAAATTATTAATTGCTGGTTAATGTAATTTAATTGCTGAGCAATTCAGCAAATTTAATTGCTGAATTAAATTGATGGTTAAATAATACCTTGGCAAACACTTGTTGATTCTGATTATTAGCTATAGGTTATATATATATATATTAAGATTGAGTTATGCATACAGAACTGCGGTACAGGCCAGAGGCTCAGGGGCAGTGAGAGGATTCACCAGAGACAGAGTGGGGAGCAGAACAGGCCAGCTGACAAAGTACACTGCTGAGGGGAGCAGCGGGCGGGTCAGGAGAGGTCTGCCACGCTATGTGGTCACCTCTGGGGCAGGCGGGAATCGAACTCATGCGGAAGTGGCTTTAGTTTCTTAGTGCTGTGCTTTAACCCGCTGTGACATCAGGGAGGGCCTTATATGGTTTTGTTTAACACAGAAACCATATTGTTTGAGAAAAATGTTTTCTTCATGTACGATATAGCAGTTCTTTGAATATGTTTTGTTCATCTTTCTTTTATTATAACATTGATTAAAGGAGTAAATCTGACTTTCACCCAACAAAACAACATTATTCAAGTGCCTTAATTTGCTATATATCACTTTTTTTTTAAGATTTATTTATTCATACAGAACTGGGGTACAGGCCAGACATGCGGAGGGTGAGAGAATTCACCAGAGACAGAGTGGGGGAGCAGAACAGGCAGGTCAAGGAAGTACACTGCTGAGGGGAGCAGCGGGTGAGTCAGGAGAGGTCTGCCTCGCCATGTGGATCTCCTCCGGGGCAGGCGGGGATGGAACTCATCAGAAGTGGCTTAAGCTTCTTAGTGCAGTGCTTTATTTAACCTGCTGTGCCACCAGGGAGGGCCCATGTATCACTTTTTTTTAAGTTAACATTTTCAAGAACCTCCTGGTAACATTTCATAAGATCTTACTATACTTAAAACTTGTGTTTCTTTATAAACTTTTTTTATCCTTTTGACTAGGACTTCTAATATAGTGTTCAATACAAGTGCTGATCATGGTCAATGCCACATTTTAAAAACCTTCGATTTAATATTTTAACATTAACTATGATGCATATTATTGGCTTTTATGGATTACTTTTATTAGTCCAAGGGGGTTTCTTCCTGTTCTGAATTACCTAAAAATTTTCATTTTAATCATCAGTGAGTTAAAAAAAAGATTTATTTATTTATGAATACAAGAATTAGGGCATAGAGGGGTGTGTGTGTGTGTGTGTTAACATTCACTAGAGACAGGATAGGGAACAGAACAGGTGGATCTACTGAAGTACACAGATGAGTAGAGCAGTGGGTGGGTCAGGAGAGGTCTGCTTCACCATGTGGGGATCAAACTCATGCTGATGTGACTACGGATAGATTCCTAGTGCTTCTTTTTAACCCAATGCACTACCAGAGACGCCTTAATCATCAGTGGATTTTATTACATCTGTTGAATTTTTTACATCAACTTTCCTTCCACATTTATTGACATAACCTTACTTTTCTTCCTTAAATGTGGTAAAGTATGAAGTTATTGAAGGTTATTTCTTCTTCAGTAAAGTTGGTACACGTTTTATAGAATTTCTGTGGACATAGAGATCCAAATGGGAGACTTATACAAATGAGATCTAGAGAAAAGCCCAGCAAAGGGAGCATTGTCACATAAGAGTAGAGAGAATGTGACACAACTTGCGGGGAACACCCTGTGACCTGGATGACAGGAGGTCCCTGAGTTTGTGGGGCTTCATAGGAAATAGAGAGAAGGAAGGAGGGCCAGAGACTATGGATGGATGTAGAGGGGTCTAGCTGACAACACAGGTACATCATTATGTAGGTCTCATAAAAATGAAAACAACAAAATGTAGACAGGAAGCTGGAGAATTGAAACACACCAGGTAGAGTTCACGGGAGCCCTGTTATAGGAAAAAGAGAGAACTACCTTCAAATGCTGATGAAAAGAAATGTAGTTAAATGTGAAATATGCTTCCTTATATACAAATTACAAACTAGAATTATCCCCGAGCATTGGCTTGGATGTCAGATGAGTGAATACAGCTAAACATGCGCTAAAATGGCAAATCAGATTAAATGTCTTCGTGTGTAACCTGGTGCAGGGATGCCCACACAAGAGATTCTCAACAACTCGGCTTGTCATCTATATACAACTTCACTTGAACATAGACGTTAATTTTCCTCTCTTGCAAAATCCTTAAGAGGTAATATGTTCTCTTCACTTTTTGCCTTTCCACTTCTTACTTCCCACATTCTCTGAAACACCATGTCTATTTCAAATAATGCTTGCAAAAAAATGGCCTTGATCTAGCTTTTTCATTCTTGTTATTAAGTACAGAAAAACAAAACACCACAAATAGAAAAGGGCAGCATTTGGAATAGTTTAAAAGTTTTGTAAGCACCAGCAAAGGGGGCTGCAGCAGAGAACATTCCATCCCCCTGTCCTTCTGCTTTCATTCCAGGTTTCCATGCAGATCAGATAGAGGCAGCGGCCCCAGGAGAGCAGCAGGGCCCACACATGTAACCAATTGCTTTTTTGCCTGTAGTAAAGTTCACATTTTGATTGCTCCTCCAGATTATGTAGATCCAGACATATTTTATGCAGTCATCCGGATCTTTCTCTCTGGGTAAGTATAGTTCATCTGTTTTTTACATGAGGCCTCTGTAGCATTTTCCAAATTTATAAAAGGGAGGAACAGGCAGAAGCTCCCTAGAGTAAGAAACACATCAAGACCCCCTGCTAGCAAAGTAACCACCTGGAAAAATTCTTGGATAAACTAGGTGGGGAACCATTTGTATGGCAAATGACATTGAAGGTGGAATAAGCTTAGAGTAATTGTCCCTTATTTATTACTTTTTTTAAAAAGATTTATTTATTTATGCATACAGAACTGGGGTACAGGTTAGAGATGCAGGGGCGGTGAGAAGATTCTCCAGGGACAAAGTGCAGAGCAGAACAGGCCAACTGAGAAGTACACTGCTGAGGGGAGTAGCGGGCGGGTCAAGAGAGGTCTGCTGCGCCATGTGGTCACTTCCTGGGCAGGTGGGGATCGAACTCATGCTGAAGTGGCCAGCTGTGCCATCAGGGAGGCCCTATTTATTACTTTTTTTTTAAATACTTTTTTTTTAAGATTTATTTATTTGTGTATACAGAACTGGGGTACAGGCCAGAGGCTCAGGGGCAGTGAGAGGCTTCACCAGAGACAGAGTGGGGAGCAGAACAGGCAGATTGATGAAGTACACTGCAGAGAGGAGCAGCGGGCAGGTCAGGAGAAGTCTGCCTTGCCATGTGGTCACCTCCGGGGCAGGCGGGAATCGAACTCATGTGGAAGCAGCTTTAGCTTTTCAGTGCTGTGCTTTAACCCACTGTGCCACCAGGGTGGGCCCCTATTTATTACTTTTTAAGGATTTATTTATTTATGCAGACAAGACCTGGCCAAAGGTGGTGTGGTTGGGGGGGGGGGGAAGGGCATGAGAGGATTGATCAGAGACAGAGTGAGGAACAGAACAGGCTGATTTACTGAAATACACTGCTGAGGGGAAGCAACAGTAGTGGGCTGGACAGGAGATGTCTGCTGCAGATAGCTTCATAGTTTTGTGCTTTAACCTACTGCACCATCAGGGAAGGCCCAAGTAATTGTCCTATTAGATTCAATTGTCCTCACTTCCTTAACTACAGAAAAAGAAAAGTCCAGAGTGCTCCTCACCAAGCTACATCATTCATGACCATGCATCAAGGCAGATGAAAGCACAGACAGCAGCTTCAAAGCTTTTTTCTAATATTCCTGGCAGAGCTACCCCAAGCTATTTTTTCATATGACTGGGTACTCTCTCCTTTGTGACATGGCATGTGAATTTTCCAGCTAGAAAGAAAACTATTCTTAGGTACCTATTTCTTCTTTTACATATATTAGTTAATATACTGACACATTTTAATCCAATTGCTTTTCTATTCACATTAACAGCTAAATTCAGTTGTTTTAATGGCAAAATCAGAGAAAGTGGATGAAGGATGTGAAACAAGTGAAATATACATCTTGCCAACTATCTCAATAACTAGGGAGATGCCGGAAGTGTGCTCAATAGAAAGAATTTGAAGCTGTTCTTGGATACAGCAAGAAACACGCCAAGTATCACTAGCCATACTATTTCACAGTAGCTTCAGTAGTATGTATGTTCTATTGGTGTAAGAAATGAGTGACAATATGAACTAAGTATATACTTGAGATTGGGTACATGAGATTGAGGACATGGTGTAGACAATCTAAGGATGAGCCAGCCTGGCTAGAGACTTCTCATTGAAGAGTTTAGTGTGTGGAAGCAAGAAGGAGTCTAGAGAATAACACAAGAGTGATGAGTACCTGCTTTACTGGGAGGTGTACAGAAATGGAATTAGCAACATACCTCAGAATTTAGATTTCCCTTCTGCACCTTGATGCCTTCGCTCCTGAAACCCTCCCCAGAGAGGTATCTTTCCGATAACTCTTCTTGTTAGCTATAGTTTTTGCATGCTAGTTAGGATCAATACAAGATATGCGTGGAAAATGGACATTCTAGCCACAGATGTTAATTAAGCAAAACATGCAGCTATGCTTTGGCAGGTTTAGACAATGGGCTACAAGGGTCACTTTTAAAATATTAAATGGACTGAAATTTACAAGCACTTAATCCTGACCCGTTTCTTCATGCTTCCCTTTCCTCTCTCTGTGTAAATTTTCATTATTGCCACAAAATACAACAGTTCAAAACAGCACACATTTATCATCTCACATCTGTGGGTCAGAAGTCTAGATAGGCTTGACTTGACTTTCTGTTTAGGGTTTCAGAATGCCAAAGTCATGCCTTCTGCAATCTTATTGTAGTATATGGGGAAGAAGTCACCTCCAGGCTCATTCAGGTTGCCAGGTTTTTGGCAGAATCTAGTTCTTTGTGGCTTGGTAACTGAGGTCGCTGTGTCCTTGTTGACTATCAATCAGAAATGGTCTCAGGTTCCAGAGGTTTCCTGTATGCCTTGTCACGTGGTCTCCTATAGGTCAGCAGAGAGAATTCCAACCCCTCTACTGCTGGCTCTGTGACTTCTCTTTCTACCACTAGCAAGAAAAAAAAAACTCTGTTTTTAAGGACTTATGTGATTAAATTCAGATTATATAAATACAGGATAATCACTGTTTTAGGGAAATTAATGAGTGACCTTATTTACATCTATAAAGTTCCTTCTGCCTTGCCACAAAATGTATCACATTGAAAAACATGGTCTTTCATAATATTACAAGAATTAGAATTGGAATCTTGGGGCAACATTAGAATTCTTTGTACACAGGATCCTTCAAGGAATAGATATGTTCTATTTTTCCTTTCTATCACAGGTATCTGATAAAGATATATTCTAAAATCATTATGAATATATGATCAGGAGAGGAGACTTTGTTTTCATTAAAATAAATTCAGGGTCAGTAACTAATTTTATCTATGATCTACATAAATGCTTCCCTCTATTTCTAAGCCTCAAAAATATTTTCCATGTGGCTAAACAAAGTGACCAGTACCAAATCCCAAATGTTTTGGTAAGTGTTTATGGTCAAAAACATCTGGATTGTTGAGAATTCCCGATAGTTATTTTGAAAAATAGAAATTTGTGCTTGTGTTCTCGATTTACCCTATATTTAGTTATTTTTTTCCTTTTAAATATTTATTATTTAGGAGAGGCATGATTTCACATGTTTTATTTAGGAGAGTTGAGAGATTTCATCTTTCAACTTTATATAGATGGAACATTTCCCACTCCGATATCTAAGGGAAGTTATCAACCACTCTGGGGGGGAAAAATCTTTTTTGGTGTTGCTCAAACCTCCCCTTTTCTTAGATTTGCAAGAAATATGTTACAAGGAAGGCTAAAAATAAATAGCCTACAGAGATTTGAAAGGAAAATAATTCCATTCCTTCACAAACAATTCACCCCAAGAATGCACAGGAGCAACATGGGCCTTTCAGAGACACAGATTTCCCTCCCTCAACTAATCTCTTCCTAGTGGGAAAGTATAGTTTTTGAAAGTAAGTGACTCTCCTTTCCAGTTTTGCCTTTTCCGCTGGTTGTTTTTCTATCACCTTCAATGTAACGTCAACACACCCACTTCAGGCCGATACACAGAAAGGAGATTAGTTGACGGCTTTTGGCCATTTGAACATACGGTGGTTTTTTTTAAAGCTCTGGAGTCTGGCCCTCTCTGGTGGTGCAGTGGGTTAAAGCACAGCACTAAGAAGCTTAAGCCACTTCCACATGAGTTGGATCCCCGCCTGCCCCGGAGGTGACCACATGTTGCGGCAGACCTCTCCTGACCTGCCCGCTGCTCCCCTCAGCAGTGTACTTGGTCGATCTGCCTGTTCTGCTCCCCGCTCTGTCTCTGGTGAATCCTCTCACCCTCCACATCTCTGGCCTGTACCCCAGTTCTGTATGAATAAATAAATAAATCTTAAAAAAAAAAAAGCTCTGGAGTCCTTTCAAGAAGTACACATCGGTCTGTGCAGTCTGGATATGAAAAATATATAATTAAAGAATGCTGATGTCATTCATTCATTGATCAAATGGCTAGTGAGTGTTTGCCATATTCCAGGCACATTTTTAGATGTGAATAATAAAACAATAACTTCATTTCTGTGCAGTTTACATAAGAGATCTCTTACATAAGAGATACAGAATGCACACATATAACAAAGTAACTATAATACAAAATAGGTTACAAAAATATGCAATATAGAGAAATGTAAAGTAGGATATAGAGTGTTATGGAATATTAAGAGTGGTAGCTGGTGTTTCTTATTTATTTCCTGTGGCATGGGAATGCCCTATTTCTAAGTGACCTGGAAGCAGATATTCAAATGAGGCAAGAAGTGAACTTCCCAGATTCCTGTTCCAAGCAAAACAGAACAGCTGTTACAGTGACCGTGTGTTGGGAATACGTTTTTCAAGAAGGAAATGTAGGAAAGCCAGCAGGACTTGAGTGGACTTAGCCTGGGAAGAGAATGAAAGAGCTTGATAACAAGAGACCAGGTCACACGTGCATCTTATTGGCTTCATTTCTGAGTGAGATGATTAACACAGGCAAAGTTTTGAGGATGGCATGAGCTGTCCTGAATTTCAAATAGATATTCATTAATGAAAACATAGAACAATCATCCCCAAGCAGCCACCACCCCCCAAAAATATATATATATATAAACCCAACTACCCCATTCCTTATAGCATTTCCTATCTGAGGGAAGTATTTAAAACACCTTGAACAGCAAGGTATGTGTAATGTGTGTGTTTTCCTTCTCTTAAGCAAAACAACTCTTAGACTTATAATAGGTGAAAAACATCAACATAGACTTGTTATTTAAATAACTAACCAGAGGGAATATAGCCTGTTCTTGGCCATAGGCGGAAAATATTCTATTCTTTGGTAAAAGTAGAAATCCACATGGATGGGTCTTGGGAAAATGAAAATAGAAAATTGCAAGTTTGGGATTCAAGTTCTGATTCACCTATTCCGTACAATGTTATAAGTACAAATGTAATGTGTTCTTGGTGCTGTTGTTCCTGTCTTGTGGAGTCACCCCCAAACATGATGAATGTTGAAGATTAAAATATCCAACAGGGAAATGGAAGCTGAAAAAAGGAGACTCAAATATAAAACGATGAAGGAGGCAGTCAAGGAAATGGGAGAAGGAAGGAGAGAAGAGATGAGAGGGAAGCAGAGGAAACCTCACTTGTCTGACCTTGATTACGAGGCTCACTTCTAATCCTTCCACACATCCCAGACATTAGCTCTGGTAATCTGCAGAATTGTCTGTGTTCTCTTTGTTGTTACCATTATTATCTCTAAATATAGATTTGTCTCTAAATATCCTTTACTTTTTTGTGAATGTCCTCTTTGAGGAAAGAGAAGGGATGCATCCTGTGCATCAAATGGGGATCAAGCTGAGGATATGGTACATATTTGACAAAGACAGCTAGTTCTTGTTCCAAAGTTACCATTGAAATCACGTTCTGTTACTTGTTCTTCTGTTTCCATATCAGAAAATACACTATTTTTTCAATCTGACTTTTGCTTAGATGGAAAGATAACCCAGCCATGCCTAGGGGCTTGATATATAAAGGAGTCTCCAAAGAGCCCCTGAAATATTCTGGAGGGAGTGCAGCTCAGAGCACAGTGCTTCATGCCTTTGATGAGCTCCTAGGCATCCGTCACAGCAAGGAAAGTGGTAAGCCAGACATTTTTCTTTCTCTTTCTTTTACGGGGAGGGAGAAACAGGCATTTTTATCATTTAATAAAACCAAATGTAAATCAAAATGTCTTGAAGTCCGTAGTTCTCTGAATGGACCAGGAAACTCTGGTCTGCTATTGTGTCAAGTCAATTACATCAGGTCTCAACGGGGTGCTGAATTTATTTTCTAATCTTAAAGTGTATTTCTAGCTTTTCACTATGATTTTGCGTTGATCCTTAGTAGCTTCCTTTTTCTAAAATGAGGGAGGGACCTGGAAGTCAAGTCGGCATAATAATGACAGGGCTGGGCTCCTGAAATAACACCCTTTTCCCAAAAAAATGGTGTGCCCTCCAGCCAAATCTATTTAGGCCAAAAGAAAAGTCCATAACTTTGGCAAATTGAGAAGCTGTTCATCTTCTTACCTTCTAGGGTTGTGCCAAGTATTCAAAAGCTGCCAAAAGGCACTTCATAGTACAGAACTTTCAAGTTGGGTTAGAAAAAGTGACTAAAATATGGTGTTATAGGGTACAGTGTCATTCACAAAATTCAGTTCTTCCAGAACTGTGGCCATTATTTGTGGGTTATTGATTTAGTGATAGTAGTTGATTTGCCATGCATAATACACATAATTGACTTTCAGTAAATTATCTCTATTTCCTATAAAAAGCTATTGATTCTGTCTTTTAGATAATTTGATTTAAGGGGACTAGTTACTAAAATCACTGTTCATTCTGTATTTTATTGTCCTTATGAATTCTATGACTTTCCTCATTGTTAGCGCTCCTTTCAAAACAACGCATGCTGGGAAAAAATTTAGCAGAGGCTTTTAGCGTTTATCGTCAGTATTATGGTTTGGGCCTTACATTTGAGCTATTTCTTACAGTAGCTAACAAGATATTTTGTTCACATTTGGCATGTGACAGTTTATTACACATGTACTGACAGTCTTAGTTCCAAGTTAGTTATCTGAGATAGACTTGCTCCTTTTTCCATTTTCAGTCTCCTCCCAACAATTAAGAGGGTTCATTTGTGTATTTGATACCCACAAGCAAGAGAACAGTAACATCAATTGGACATTTAAGACAACAGGAACTCTTTTGGAAACTGGTGGCTTGAAAAGCAGCCAGTTCTTTCATCCTTCCCTGTGCAGCTACGACATTGATTTGGATTATTTGTTTCAGCTGACTTTCTGCACAGGATGAGGGATTACATGCCTCCTTCCCATAAGGCCTTCGTAGAAGAAATCCACTCAGCTCCATCACTGAGGGACTACGTCCTGTCCTCTGGAGATGGCCAACTTCTCACTGCCTACAACCAGTGTGTGGAGGCCCTGGCAGAGCTGCGAAACTATCACATCACTGTGGTAGCCAAATACATCATCACCGCTGCAGTCAAAGCAAAGAGCAGAAGGTCAAGCCATCTCTCAGGGCCACCTCAGGCCTTGGAAGACAGGGGCACTGGAGGAAGTTCAGTTCTGAGCTTCCTCAAGAGTGTCAGGGATAAGACCTTAGATGCAATCCTCCACCAAAGTGTTTAAGAGATGGCGAGATGGCCTTCTTCCAGCAGTGCCATTCTAGCAAAAACAGATTTTCTTATTCTCCCCCCCCCCCCCCTCTCCAAGGCAGGTGGGTCTACAAGGTGAGAGTCAGCTTTCTGTCTAAAAAATCCAAAGAGAGGGCCCTCTCTGGTGGCACAGTGGGTTAAAGCACAGCGCTGAGAAGCTGAAGCCATTGCAGCATGAGTTCGATCCCTGCCTTCCCCGGAGGTGATCCACATGGCACAGCAGACCTCTCCTGACCCGCCCACTGCTCCCCTCAGCAGTGTACTTCGTCAGTCATCCTGTTCTGCTCCCCACTCTGTCTCTGGTGAATCCTCTCACCACCCTTGCACCCAGTTCTGTATACATAAATAAATAAATCTTAAAAAAAAAAATCCAAAAAGGACCTTACCTCTATTCAAGTCCCCATACACCTCTTCTCCTTTGTTGAGAATTGTTTGTGCTTAACAGAGGAAAAACCTCATGGTCAGGAACATTCATTTCCCTGTCCTTTCCTGATTACTAAATAATCTCCATTATTCGGAACCCAACAGAGAAAAAAGTGTTTGCAAAGTAACAGAAAACAAATCTAAACTTTGAAACCCAAATAAAATTGCGTATGAATAGTTTCACCTTACTGATCTCTTGAAAAGAAAATATTCATGTATTCATTCACTCACTTAACAGTTTATTAAATTCCTACCGAGTACTGGCTTTGGGAACAGAGCAGGATGTCTGTGGCCCCCGTCCAAGGCTCTTCTGCCTGCATGTGTTGAGTTTTGTGGCAGGAGGTTGGAAATGCTCCAGCAGAGATGAGGAGGAAAGACGAAGTCACTGGTAGGAATATGAATAATTAATGATATGGGAACGGATGAAACTTTTTCACATGGTTTATAAATTTTGCAAAGTCTATTTTAACTTCCAGTTTTTATTTTTAGAAGAACAAGTCTCATTACACTGAGAGTTTGCACTATTAAAATGAATTAATTGACCTTTTGGAAGTAAATGAGCAATATGGGAATAAATAGTACATCCACATGCTTATGTACGAATACATGTAACTTTTCACTTAGTTTCCATCTCAGTGTCTCATTCCACCCGACAGCAAGCTTGGAGAGTTGCAAATGCCAATTTGGGATAACTTCCATTCACTTAGGTTTGCCCCTAAACCTGGAAATACACATCAGCTGTGATGGTATCTCAATTCCAGATGCTGATCAAGTACCACAGCTTCAGGGAGAGACACTGGAACTCGGGGCCCCCTAGTCTCCTCACTGTACAGGCTTGGGTTACCCACAGCTCACAGCCTGTCTCCTTCTAAAAGGCCTGTCAGATTACTTAGCACCCAGGCTTCTATGTTACTGCTTAGAAAAACAAGTGGCTACTTCTCACATACCCCAGCGTAAAGGGAGACTCAAAAGCAGCTCCCAGCGTTGATCCAGCTCCCACGGCCACCAGCTCCACTCTCCAGGCCATGGGGAGGGTTTCAGGACTTTCGGTGAATGATTCAAAACTTGTTCCTTTTCATTAAAATAAGATGTGTGTTTGATTTTTTCCCCCTGAGGCTTGGTCCTCTAGTTCTTCTCCATCACGATAGTCCCTTATGCTCTTTCTCCCACTTTGGAAAAAAAAAAAAAAAAAAAAAACGAACAAGGATGTAAGAAAATAAACAAATAAAATTTAAAAAACAATAAAGTTAACTACAAAGAGTCTGGGAGTGTGGGAGTTTTGGGCCAGTTTATAATTTTAAAAAGTCACTCATCTTCAGCTTCTAATATTTTACAAAATCAAGGTGATCAAATTGGTGTCAGGGTAGATGTAACTAACAGCAGGGATAGTGCTTGACACAGAGGAAGGAAATAACAAAAACTGACCTGGTTTCGAGGCGGGGTTCAGAGCACAGTGTTTCTCCATCCCCGGGAAGACGTTGCTCTTGTCGTTTCCTGGACTCAGAGTCCACACAGCTACAGGAGAAGCATTTATCATTTATGTCACTGGGGATGTTAGGAAGTAGAAAGTGGCAAAAGCAAACTAAAACGTAAAAAAAAAAAAAAAAAAAACCAAACAAACTTGATTTTATAATTTTATATTTCAGTTTTCTCAACATTTTATAATGAGAATTTTTTTTCATATTTTGGAGTCGTAGTTTATTCGCTTGTACACAATGGAACTTTGTAAATACAGTCTGGAGTTAGTTTATGGAATAAGTAACTAAATCATGGCTTTTAGTCTTTTATTCTCACTTATGTGGCCTTGAGACACCATGTCTAGGGGTGCAGATGAGAGGCTGGAACTGGCCACTTCCCTGGATTTGGTACAGCAAAGAAATAACAAGACTTCAAAACAACAGGCAAAGTGAGAACCTGGATTTTTCTTGAAGTTATGTAGGCACGGGTAGGGAGTAGATAAGAACCTTTAAAAACTCTATAAAGGATGTCAGTCACTTCAGATTTTAAATGTAGGTCTGTATTAGTGGGCCCTGACTTGACAGAATTAACCAAGAGCCATCATAATTGATCTACTTTCAACAGCTCCCTCCTCTCAAGGAGACCATGGAGTCTGACTCACGGTTTTCCCTAAGTGTTGAAAAAGTGGACACCTGGAGGTTGATTGGCAGGAGGGGAGAGAGAGCATAAAGTTGTCTTCCACAGTTTTATGATTTGTTTGATTATTATCATTACACAAAGGTAACATAATTCTGGCTGCTGTGTTCCCTTTGCCAGTGAATTAACTCTTAATTCAGGTGTCAGGTTTTGATTACTTTTTCAGGGAGTTCCAGTCTCAGCTCGCTGGTAGCTGGTACATACATACCCTCCCCACACTATTAGAGAAAACTGTTCTTTGTTTTCTCTTTAAAAATAATTATTCCATTAGTATAGGATTTTTATTTTATTTGTTTTGCATAAAAGAACTAGGCACTCATGGTTGGTTGTAGCCCTGACATTTAACCCCTAGGCCACCGGGAAGGCCTAAGACGATCATTTGTAATAATACAAGAGTGGTAAAATGGTTCTGAGGCTAGTTAATCCCTAAGTCATGCTAGGAAGGGACGCAGCAGTTGACGGGATGAAACCACTAGAGGGCAGCAGAAAACACTCAAAAAACTTAGCTCACAACTTGCAGGCTCTCTAAACCGGGACATCTGCGTAGAATGAAGCCATTGTCGCAATGAAAATGAAAACTCGGTGTTCCAAGATTGAGAATGGAAGGCAGGTCTTCACTTAGAAAGGGAGACAAGTCTCCAAGTCCTACATTTTGTACTTAGATTTACCATCATCTTGGCTGCCTGCACGCCCTGCCACTGCTGGCGACCAAAAGGGGAATCTGTTCCTTTTCATCTTGTGCCCATATCGAACTAGGATTTGTTTGTGATTTGGAGATACTTTAGTAAAGATTCAGGGATGATTTGAAAATCAAACAAACAGAAAACATAAAGGAAATACCAGCCAGAGAGCACGGCTAATATACTGTGCTCTCGCTGTGAGGTTCAAGGGCCCCATGTTAGCGGATTTCCAGGTTACCTGCAAGTGGGTGGGATCCCTCAAACCTGGGTGAAAAGATGTCTCAACATACCCAAGACTGCTAGTCTGAAATTAGTTGTTTTACTTCCCCCCCCCTTTTTTGGCTGCTAGCCAGCAGTAACATCAAATAAAACTAAGCAACGACAACAAAGAAACACTTAAAACCTGTGAGCGTCTATCCAATTTAAGATGTGAGATAGAAAACTTTCTGTGCCTACAAGCTCATTACTTCTTCCACAGCCATGAATTCCACCCACCAAATCTTGTTTTCCATTATCCTGTGTACAGATTCCTATTTGCTTTGCTAATGGAAGAAATGCTGTCTTCTTTCTCTGTTCACTAACATCTTAATAAAGAAGCTGGATATCATTGCTTTCTGAAATGAAATCACTGATTTTTTTCAGCTTAGCATCTGCTTCCTTGTAATAGTAACAAAGTTCTTGAATGTAAATAACATAAAAAATAAGTGATTTCGTTTTGCAAAGTATTCTTCTTTGCAAACTCACAGCTGCAGCTGTATAGATGTCAAACCAAACCCTTATTACATAGTTCCTGCAATTGTCCACAAATAAATTTTTCCTCCCTAAAGTTATCAATCAGCGATTTGACCTGTCCTCTTTGTTGGAGCCATTCGCAGCCTGACCCAGGCTCTAGCCCTCCTCATGAGCCAGGGAGTGCTGGGGCCAGCGAGTCTTGCCTTTAGGATGATTAACTTTCTGGAGAGCCAATTGAAGACACAGCCAGGTCCGATAACATTAAAATAATAATAATAATGCCACCATTAAAATCACAGATTTATCATTAAATACGGAAAATAAGCATTTATTGGAAATAAGATTCAGCATTACTTATTTTCTATCACATAAATATTATTATTTAAACAAAGCAGTTGGCTAGTTAACAGTAGCAATTGGTAGCAATTAATAGTTGGACTAATTGAACAGATAATATATAATTGCTCTTTAAGGAGTTCAGATAACATGACCACAATATTCATGATGTGCAAACACAAACTGGCGCTATCTCAATACAAAGCACAATAGTTGATCTCCAGTCAAAAATCACAGGCAGTTAGCATGCAGAATGACGATGTGCTTAAATTGCCGGCTGTAGCCACAAAGGTAATTCCATACTGTGAATCACAAAGCACAGGTTACACCACCAGTGATCCACGGGGAAACAGTGATGGCTGTGGAAGAGACCATTGAACACCAAGTACAAGAGCTTTCAGCTCTTAATTTTGGGGGCTGTCATCCGAATTTTAAGAGTTTCCTTTAATCTTGTCAACTAAGATCAAAATATACCTACATTCATTCACGAGAGAACGGTCCCTGGACAATGCAACGGAGTATAAAAGTGGAGCAAGAGGCCAGACCTGTGAAAGCTTATCTCCATGTGTTCATGTTCAGTGTGGAATTCTGAGCAGTCTGAGGGTTCGACTTAAATAGGTACTTCTAGGTCATTATGAAGTATTTTTGCTAGGTAATACAGCAGAGGATTCCTTTTTTTTCTTGGAAAAAAAGTGGGAGCTTTATTTATACCTCTTACACGTGTGAAGACTTTATGTGGATGTACACTTTCATTTTTACACCTTCCTCCACACCCCACAAGCATTAGGGGTACAACGACCTGTCAGTCTTGTTTGAAGTTTAAACTTTACTTGCAAGTCTACGCAGTTACCACCAGAGGGCAGTAGCTACCCGCACTACTAGGCACAAAGCATCAAGCTGTATGTGGTGTGTGCATGCCAAATGAATCTCAAAGGTCAAAGGCTTTCCCCCCCTTTTTTTTTTTTTTAAAGAAATACCTCTTTCTCCACTGTAGGACCAGGAAAGATAGGAAAGATCTTGCTTGACAGTTTTGCACCCAGACCCCTGCCTCCAGAGAAAACCACATTAAATCAATCCAGATAGATTTCTCTGTGTTCAAAGTAAATCATATTTTATTTATTTGTAAGTTTTAATAGGGGCATCCTAGACAGTTGAACTACAAATAACTTGTATTATTCTCTTTGGATATTTTTTTAACCAAAAGTAAAAACACTAGTGTTTTCTGTTTTACGTTGGAGAAGAAAGCTCTCAGGTGTTAATCTGAGAATCTTTGTCAGAGAAGTTTAAAAGGAGCTAATTTGTGACAAGAGGATTAATAACAGAATTAAGCATTGAAAAGAAATTTCACATGAGCAGTATACATAGAAAAGCCAAATCAAGGCCTTGGGTTCTGAAGGAGACTAGTTGGGGTTTTGTTTATAAGAAAAAAACATATTGCTGATTAAATATTTCTCTCCTCCCAGCCCTTCCTCCTCCAACGCATCCATCCCAACTATTACACTCAGTTACTGCCCCTGAGACTCACATGGAATATTTACTGTCATATTTACTGTCACAAGAGCCTGCACCTGTTTGGACAGTCCTTTTTAAAATGACTTGTTAATGGTAATCGCTGAAATTATATTTAAACTCTAGATGGAAAATATGGATCGACTAAATACCAATGTGGTATCTAGCTAATCTGCTAATTTAGAAAATAGAAAACAGCGGCCCTCTCTGGTGGCTCAGAGGTTAAAGTCTCAGCACTATCAAACTATCACCAGCCACTGCAGCATGAGTTCCATCCCTGGCCAAGGAGCTGACCCTTATGGCACAGCAGACCTCTCCTATCTCACCTGCTGCTCCCCTCAGCAGGTCTGCTTGTTCTGTTCCCCATTCTGTTTTTTGTGAATCCTCTCACCCCCCCCCCACACCTCTGGCCTACACCTCAATTCTTATATGCATAAGTACATAAAAATAAATCTTAAAATATTAACTACAAAACATGCATAAAAGACAATCAATGTGAAGTCTTTATCTTCCTTGTCCATTCATTTTCAATGATTAAGAAGCTGATGACAAAATTGAAAATTTCAGTATTAAACAAATGGGAACACCACACAGAGACTATATACTTTCAACTCCCTTCAGCCACAAGTGGAATAAGCACACTTAATACAAAGTTTGAAATCCATGCAAATCTTTTATTTACAATATTCTTCCTTTCTGTGTCAATTGCATGAGTACAAACTGCACTTCCTCCACCCAGTAACTTGATACCACCTTTTCAAGTTGCCTTTAGGATAATAACAACACTTATATAATAGGGTATGGTGGTAATAGCAGATAATATATGTAAAGCATTAGACCAGTGCCTGTGTACAGCTAACATCATGTAGCTATTTGCTGCTGTTATTACTGCTGTCATGAAGTTTCAGACACACTGCTCAACAGCACGGAAGGAGAGCCTACTTGCTGAAACCCTGGCATAGAGTCATAGAAGAGTTCTATTCATATGTGTTCTCTCAGGTTTTGCCTGGAAATGGAAATTTGTAACTTAAGAACCACAGTGCTGGGCAACAGGGAAATTGAAACATGTCTCTGGGATTAGATTCTCATCTTCTTAGTGAAATATTTTTCTAAAAGTTATGACTCATATTTTCTATATAAGAACTTCTCAAACCCACTCCTAAATT